TGGCAGAGCTATAATGACTTCCGTCACCTTAGAGCCTGACATCGCTGGGCCGAAAAAGGGAACGAGAACGGAAAAGAACGAGAACGAAAAAGAAACAAAGAGACAAGGACTCCTCATGCGCGTTGCTTTCGTTTGATTGTGCAAGAACGTTTGCCAGGATGTAAATGATCTGTACTTCAAGCTACTTTTGACTATCGACTTTTGTTTTAACAGTTCTTCTCCCACAGATCTGAATCTTTGTCCTTCTTTTCCTCGTCGTCCTCTTGTTGGTTTTCTTTATTGTTATCGTTTGTCTCTTTGTTTCTTTTGTGTTCGTCGTTTTCGTCTGCTTTCAAAGCAGTGAGGGAAGTTGCAGAGAGAAGCAGTGAGCGTCTTGACATTGCACGCAGTTTTCCGTTCACATATTACCATCGAAATGAAATTACGGGCTCTATAGACTATAACTATGCCCACCGTCAAACTCCCAGAAGTTTCTCGTTCTCACCCTCGCACCCGCCCGTCACACTAAAGTGACAGGTTAACGTAAGAGTCCCGGACGCTGTGCCTTAGGATCGCCGCATACACCTATGCACAAGATGACACCGCAGGATTCACCATACATACCCACTCGTACCAGTATCCGTCCATGCACTAGAGTCCTCCACAGCTGTTAACAAGTGGCTCGGTCTGCGCATGCGGGTGGTCAGGTAGGTAGGTGTGTGTGTGTGTGTGTGTGTGTGTGTGTGTGAGAGAGAGAGAGAGAGAGAGAGAGAGAGAGAGGATGGATAAGGACGCTCGCGCCCACGCGATCGTCACTCAATGGGAGTCTCGTTCCACACCACTACAGAATACTCGAGTTTTCGAGGGCGCCCTTGAAAAAAAAAAGAAGTGATATTGCTTCGTGGGTCGTGGTTCCCTATGGTGGCACTTGTTCAATGGGGAGCCTGCCTTGCTCCGTGGCGGTGTGAGTACGACCGGATGCATCCTCGGCTATATGCTGCAATTCGTGGCTTGTGGTTCCCTATGGCGGTTGTGATCAGGATGGTGACGGCGCCCTCTTTGATGTGCGGCAGAAGCGAACACGTGGAGTGCTGGAGAGGCAGAAGCGAACACGTGGAGTGCTGGAGAGGGAGTTCTGGACGTTAAAAGGCACGTGGAGGTTGTTCCTTCGTCATCACAAGACAAATATCAAGGGCACGTGG